GGGAGGGGGCTCAGGGCTGGGGCAGGCAGTTGGGGTACAGGAGGGGCGAAGGGTTCAGGCTCTGGGAGGGAGTTTGGGTGCAGGAGGGGGCTGAGGGGTGCAGGCTCTGGGAGAAGGGGCTCAGAGTTGGGGTAGGGGGTTGGTGCAGGAGAGGGTGAGGGGTGTGGGCTCTGGCCAGGTGGCGCTTACCTCAGGCAGCTCCTCAAAGTGACTGGCACAGCCCTCTGGCAGCAGTTCCTAGGCCCACAGGCACTGCCCCCACAGCTCCCATTGGTTGCAGTTCCCGGCCAATGGGAGCTGCAGAGTCGGCACTCGGGACAGGAGCAACATGTAGTGACCCCCTGCTTCCCCCGCTAGGGGCCGCAGGGACATGCCAACCACTTCCGGGAGTGGCACGGAGCCAGGGCAGGCAGGGAGCCTGTCTTAGCCCCGCTGCGTGGCGGACTTTTAGCACCACTCAGGGAGGGGGAGGAGTTGAGGGAGGGAGGGGGAAGAGTTGATTAGCAGGGCTTACGGAGCCCATGGAGTACCCTCGGGGACCCCAGTTTGAGAAACTCTGGTATAGGGTAAAAGTACACAAAAGACCAGATTTCATGGGAGGAAACCAGCTTTCATGGTCCATGATTAATTTTGATGGCCGCGAATTTGGTAGGGCCCTAGCTATTACCAAATGGTTCAGATATATTCACCACTTGGGTCAGCTCCTGTGCACCACTTAGGACTCTCCCCTTGTGGGTTTCAGAACTAGCTGCTCCAAAAAGAAGTCATTAATGGTGTGCAGAAAATTTAATGTCTACATCCCGGCGTGAGGTGACATGTCAATATGGGGGTAGTTGAAATCCCCCATTATTATTGGGTTTTCTGTTTTTGTAGCCTCAATAATCACCACGAGCATTTCACAGTCATCATCACTATACTGGTCAGGTGGTTGGTAGTATATCCCTACTGCTATACTCTTATTATTCAAGCATGGAATTTCTATCCATAGAGATTCCATGGTACTGTTTGACTCATTTCAGATTTTTACTACATTTCACTCTATGCTTTTTTCATGTATAGTGCCACTCCTCTTCCAGTGCAACCTACTCTGCGATGCCTATTATACCAATATCCTCATTTAATACGGGGCACTCTGTACCTCAAAGTAGCATCCTGGAACCCCCATATTCACCACGGTGATAGGATTATGATATGTTTTGTACAAACTATACCTTGTGAGGTATCATTTTAAAAGTCTTGATCTGCTGAACATTAATATCCTGTTGGAATGTATGTGCGATCATTGTATGGGAAGTTATGACGTATTGCTACCTGTGTTACTGGAATATGTTGTGAGGTTGGGAACACACACCGCCACCCTTTCAGCTGCAACAAAGAAGGGCCCAGACAGCATTAATGGCCCATCAAAAAAGAGTCCCCTATCCCAGAGATTCCTTAGAAAAGACACCTATGCAATGAGGACTGCTTGACCAATGGGGACTGCCTAACCCCCCCCCATCACATCAGGGATCTTTCTAGCAGCTGGAAGAAGGTATAAAAGAGGGAGAGTGACATCATCACTTGGACTCTCCTTCACCCCGCCCCCAATTCAACACCTGGAATATCATCTGGAGGACAAAGACTTTGAACTAGGGAGATTGGTCCCAGATTGGAAGGATTTCAGTCTGTGTATTGAGGAACTGTAAACGTTAGGGTGTAAATCTGTTAATCTGTAAATCTGTTAGGGTGAGAAACCGTTTGATTCAAATCTTGTTTAGTCTGTTTAAGCTAGAATTCAGACTGCGTTTCTCTTTTTATTTCACTTAAAATTGATCTTTCTGCAGTTACTAAATCGGTTTTATATTTTATCTAAACCAGTGTGGTTTTGGTGGAAGTCCTTGGGAAATTTCCGCTCAGGTGAACAAGGGCTGTTGCATGCCCACTACACTTTTGTAGGACTGGCGAACTAATTAATGAGCTTACACCAGTCAGGCTTCTGACCAGTGCAAAATGGAAATAGTTCTGGGGTGTAGGGCTGGAGCTGGGGGGAATTGGCTGGAGCCTTTCTACTGATGGTTCATGAGTAGGGCCCTATCAAAGTCACAGCCCATTTTGGTCAATTTCATGTTCATAGGATTTTAAAAATAGCAAATTTCATGATTTCAGCTATTTAAATCAGAAATTTCAGTGTTGTAACTGTCGGGGTCCTGACCCAAAAGAAGTTGGAGGGGTCATAAGGTTATTGGTGGGGGGGGTTGTGGTACTGCTACCCTTACTTCTGCACTGCTGCCGAGGACGGCGGCGCTGCCTTCAGAGCTGGGCGGCCGGAGAGCGGCGGCTGCTGGCCGGGAGCCCAGCGCTGAAGGCCGAGCCGCCGCCAGCAGCAGCAGTGCAGAAGTACGGACGGGATGGGATGGGATGGCTTTGCCACCTTACTTTTGCCTTGCTGCTGGCAGGGCGCCGCCTTCAGAGTTGGGCCCTCGCTCTCCAGCCACCCAGCTCTGAAGGCAGTGCAGAAGTAAGGGTGGCAATACCATGACCCACCACCCTAAAATAACTTTGTGACCCCCCTGAAACTCCCTTTCGGGTCAGGACCTGCAATTTAAGAAATGCTGGTCTCCCCCGTGAAATCTGTATAGTATAGGGTAAAAGCACACAAAAGACCAGATTTCACAGAGGGAGACCAGATTTCATGGTCCATGTTGCATTTTTCATGACCGCGAATTTGGTAGGAGCCTATTCATGAGTGGCTGGGAACTTGTTCAAGTAACTCAGGTGGGTGTGTCCCTGCCTGTGGATGGCTGTGTAAGTGCAGTACCTGACCAAGGCTTGTAGCTTGACATTAGCGTCACTGTGTGAGAGACAGCCAAGCTGGTGGGTTTGAGAGCTCAGCGGTTCACAGTCCAGGCTGCACCCTGGGGACCTCGTCACACCCCCACTGTAGTGTTTAGAGTTCTTCCATTGCAGTAGAAGCACTTGTAAAATTTGTCAATATTTAGTTGTCTGCATTCATGTGGTATAACTGAATGAGATTCTATTTCACTTGAATGTTTTATCAACTTTATCAACTTCTATCTTCTCCTCTTTACTAGGATATCCCCATTAATAAATCCTTCCCTAAGGGATGTCTCTATTTGCACCGTGTGCTCCTCCGCACCTGTCAGCTTTCCCCCAGCCCTTAGTTTAAAAAATCCCATATGAAGTTTTTAATTTTATATGCCAACAATCTGGTTCCATTTTGGTGTAGGTGGAGCCCCTCCTTCTTGTGTAGGCTCCTCCTTTCCCAAAATGTTCCCCAGTTCCAAATAAACCTAAATCTCTCCTCCCAACACCATTGTCTCATCTGCACATTGAGACCCTGCAGTTCTGCCTGTCTAACTGGCCCACGCATGGAACTGGAAGCATTTAAAAGAATGCCACCATGGAGGTCCTGAACTTTAATCTCTTACCTACCCCAGAACCTCTCTCCTCTCTTTCCCTACGTCACTGGTACCCACATGTACCATGACCATCGCTTCCTACCCAGCACTGCACATAAGTCCGTCTAGATGTCTCGAGAGGTCTGCAACCGTAGCACTCAGGAGGCAATTCACCATGCGGTTCTCTCGGTCATCACAAACCCAACTATCTATATTTCTAATAACTGAATCCCCATAACTATTATCTTTCTCTTCCTAATAACTGTTGTCCCCTCCCCCAGAAGGGTATCCTCAGTGCCAGAGGACACCACAACATCATCTGGAAGGAGGATCCCAACTAAAGGATTGTTTCCCTCTATCCCAGCTGATGTTCTCCACCCCCGAGACTTTCATCCTCCTCAACAGCACAGAGGCTGTCAGACTGGGGGTGGGACCCACTGTACTGTGCCCAGGAAAGTATCATCTATGCACCTCTGTCTCCCTTCACTCCTCCCATTCAGCCATCCTGGTCTCAACAGCCCATGCTCTGTCTCCGAGGGTGAGGAGCTGCTTGCACCAAATGCACAAGGTGGATTTTGGAAAATGGAATGAGCATTTCAGCTGAAATCCCCAGCTACCCCGAATTCCTGCCTTTCTGAGCGCTGCTGTCGTTACATCCCAGTGGAGCAGCTAAAGGCTCCCCACCCACCCTGAGGAGCACACGTGGACATACAGACACATACGCTTCCTTGCTGGGTATTTTAAAATATTTTTCTTCGGGGTTTTGCCCTTTAGAACTTTGCGCTCTGCTTTTTGGCAGGGTTAAGAGTCTCAAACTCAGGAGTTCAAAAATTATGAGTCAGGGCCTCAAAACTCATGAGACTGGCTGTGAAATCACAAGAATTTTTAAAATAGTGACTTTGGGGCCTTTTTCTTTTGCCTTCTGGGGGTTGGGCCATTAGGGTTCAGGGTTCTTAGCTCTTCCTGCCAGCATACACGCTAGAAACTCTTTTTAAAAAAATGAAAGCAGAGATTTTCATGACTTCAAGAGCTGGGGATTTAGAGAAACCACCCAGTATGATGACTCTCCTGATAAAATCGTGTGAGTCAGCAATACTGGGTTAAGTGGGTCTAGGGGGAAAAGATGGAGGCAGATTATTCTGCTTTCCACTCAGGCTTCAGACAGCCATTTTAGGGTACAGCTACACTTTGAGCTAAGGGTGATTCCCAGCTCTGATTGAGCCAACGTGCTAAAAACATAGTAGGCCACCACAGCGTGAGTAGCTAGCTGCACTGAGTACCTACCCTACCTACTGGGCAGCTAGCTTCTGCCTGCGCCTCTGCCTGCTACATCTCTTTTTAGCATACTAGCTCGATCAGATCTAGCCCTAGTACTTTGCCACGCACTGAGAATTACTCCTCCAGACGGAAGTGCAGACCTAATGGCCTGCTGTTTCTTTCATTTTTCACTTTGGTCATTATGTGCTCAGCTTAGAGATGGCAAAGGGGTTACTGATTGTGGAGGACGTGTGCCATGGGGCCCCTGAGCTATCCTACCTCTGGCAAAACTCTGAGCTCCCTTCCTACTATTTTAATTCAAAGAATTGAATTGACAGTCCTTACCAATGGGAGAGAAAATCCAGAATAACAGATTCCTTCTGTCCAGCCACGAGGGATTGAAACACCATCTTCATACTCTTGCGGCAGCCATCGGCTATAGGCTCTGTTTGAAGCCCCTAAGGTAGGGCTTCTCCTGGGAGATGGAATGAAAGAATCTGTATTTACAATACAGCAAATTATACCATCAACATCATCATAGAGCCTAGGAGCCTCAGTCACAGGCCAGAACATTGTGCTAGGCACTGTACAGACAGAACAAAAAGACAGTTCCTGCTCCAAGGAGATGACAGTCTAAGAATAAGACAAGAGACACCAAGTGGACACAAACAGGCCAGTGGAGGAGCACAAGGAAACAATCTGGGTCAGCATGACAAGCAGGGGCCTCAGCACACCAGCTGCCTAACCACTGCTGACTTTTTAGTAGGCGTCACTGCACAGGGGTGTGTTACGGAGGAACTGGAAGGAGGAAATGAGGTGGCATTGCTAATGCTTTTGGGAGCTCCTGCCATGGGTAAGGGGCAGTGTGGGGCAAAGCACAAAGCTTGTATGAGAAAGTCATGAGAGGCAGTGAAGGAGGGCATAGCTGACAGATGAAGGCAGGAGTCGATAGTGTGTAAAACACTGAGCAAAACCATTGCAAATGTTTCAGTGACACCCTGACACACAGCATCCTGGGGACAGACTAGACTATGAGCTGAAATCTGACCTCTGTTTTGGCATGGGTGTGACTTTCGCTCTAGGGGTTTTCTAGAAACCAGCCTGATTGTGAGGCTTGAGCCAGCCAGCCAGGAACACATGAGGAGGAAATGCTGGCTATTGAGCCAGAGCCGGGCACAGAGCCAGCAGTGTAAAGGGCTCTTCAGTGAGCTGCATTAACAAGAGTGTGTAGACACCAAATGCATGATCAGGCTCACCACTCCTGGTGGGGATTTTCCCCTGTGTACCCTGTGAGATTTCACCGGAACAGGCCTGGCTAGTGAGTTAGGAACATAAAAGCATAAGAACAGCCATACTGGGTCAAAGCAAAGGTCCATCTAGTCAAGTATCATGTCTTCTGACAGTGGCTAATGCCAGGAACTTCAGAGGGAATGAACAGAACAGGCAATCATTGAGTGATCCATCTGCTCTCGCCCATTCCCAGCTTCTGGCAAACATAGGTGAGGGACACCATCCCTGCCCATCCTGGCTAATAGCCATTGATGGACCTGTCCTCCATGAACTTATCTAGTTCTTTTTTGAACCCTGTTATAGTCTTGGCCTTCACAACGTCCTCTGGAAAGGAGTTCCACAGGTTGACTGTGCGGTGTGTGAAAAAATACTCCCTTTTGTTTGTTTTAAACCTGTTGCCCATTAATTTCATTTGGTGACCCCTAGTTCTTGTGTTATGAGAGGGAGTAAATAACACTTCCTTATTTACTTTCTCCACACTAATCATAATTTTATAGACCTCTATCATATCCCCCTTTAGTCGTCTCTTTTCCAAGCTGAAAAGTCCCAGTTTTATTAATCTCTCCTCATATGGAAGGTGTTCCATGCCCCTAGTCATTTTTGTTGCCCTTTTCTGAACCTTTTCCAGTTCCAATATATCTTTTTTGAGATGGGGCAACTACATCTGCAAGCAATATTCAAGATGTGGGCGTACCATGGATTTATATAGAGGCAATATGATATTTTCTGTCTTATTATCTATCCCTTTCTTAATGATTCCCAAGATTCAGTTTGCCTTTTTGACGGCCACTGCACATTGAGTGGCTGTTTTCAGAGAACTATCAACAATGACTCCAAGATCTCTTTCTTGAGTGGTAACAGCTAATTTAGACCCCATCATTGTATATGTATAGTTGGGATTAGATAGGAACGTATAGATAGGAAGTTACTCTAGTGTAGGGAGGACCTGCCATGCTCTCCTTGACAGCTAGCATCACCTGTTGTTGCATTCACCCGTGATTGTTCGGTAAGTGTTTGCTTTGTCACATGGTATATTCATATTTTGTTGGGCACATCCAGTAGCCTTGGAAATCAATTCCAGCTGAGCTGGGGTCAGCATGTCTGCAAGAGAATGCAAAGGAGGTTCAGCAACTTGGTGTGCTGGGACTGGTGCCCCAGAAATGGGGCGAGGCAAAGAATTCTTGGAGGCCACTTCTGCACTCTGTCAAATCACTTCCCCAGCTCACTGCTGCCCTCACCAGGATGCAGCCTGCTCTGGTCGCAGAGTTGCTGTCTGGACTCACAGTAGAACAGAGTCTGAAGCAGCTGGGCATGTTCACACAGACATCACCGGCTGACTTTGAAGCCTCACCTCTGCAGAGCGGGGAGGGAGATGCCAGAGTGAAGGGAAAGAAGGCGGTACCAGGGAAGAGTCCCCTTCCCATTCCATCCCACAGCTGGACAGTGGTTATACTTGACCCAAATTCCAGAAGAAAGTGTTGGGGGAGGGCGGGAAAGTTGGCTTTCCCCTTCACACAAAGGACCCCCTTGAACTACAATGCCTCCCCCTGCTTCTAGTCTCCCCAGGGGTTTGTGTCACCGAGGAAGCTATCTGAGTGACGAATGGGGAGATGCTAGCTCTGACGTGCATGACCTGGCAGACAGACAGAAAGCTGCCATGTTTCATAGCTGGCCACTGCCTGGCAACAGACCCTTGCATGTACCTTGCAGCCACTCATCTTCTAGCTTTACAGGTGTATCTAATTAAGGGCCCAATATTGCAGGACTGAAGTCAGTGGGAGGACAACTGAGCCCCAAGACACTGGGCAGAGAAAGGGCTCAAGGAGAGGAAGCCAGACTGACTTGCACCCCTGTACCTGTGACATTAAACTTCCTCTTCACAGTCCACTGCAACTTCTCCTTCAGCAGGCTCAGGGTGGTTTCCATGTAATCAGCAGCTCGGATCATGGCCCTGGTTCCTCCCACTGGCTGCTTGATATGTCCCAGGATATCTGCAGGGGTGAAGGCTTCGTTCCTCAGTTTCTCCTTTAAACTGAAAGAAAAAAAGTCCCACTGTAGCTCTGGAGCAGAAACAATCCTACAAGTTGCAAGGGACCCCTTCTGCCTTTGGTCCATCGCAGCTCATTCCACAGTTACAGTAGTTACTATCCTGGCACGTGTGTGCGGTGTGGGGCTAGCAAACATATGTGTGCAGGCCAGAGCTGACCGGCAGGATGTATTGTGGCCTATATGATACAGTTGGGTTCTCCAGAATCTCAGCTTTCATTTAGAAAACCAGTTAAGTGTCTATCAGTCATGGCTGCAGTGCAGACATAACCTTCCCAAAGTGACTTAAGAGTAGCCAAGGCAGTGATGCCTGCCTAAGTCTGCCCAGAGCCTGACACCATGGCTCCGAGAGGTGATCTCCCCTGTTCCTCTCACTGAGATGTCCACTTTAAATACCAGTGATGACATGTCCATGTCAACAATAACTGTTTAACTGCTGACCATTTAGTGGTTGGATGGGGAGCATGGGGAGGGAGTGAAGCCCACAGGGAAGAAATTGGATCTGGCTGCAGGGAAGGCAATGCAGAGAAAGTACAGAAGAATCACAGACAGGATAGGGAGAGAAATGGGAAGGTGGGTGGGGAAGGAAAAGAAGCAAAGGGCAGGACAGATTCTCTCAGTGTGTGATGGATATGACTATAAGGCACTGAACAAATACTACAGATAACAAAACAAACTCATCGTCGGGCCAGAGAGAGTCACAAGTGTAAGGCCAGATGGGACCAGCAGATCATCTAGCCTTCCCCCTGGGCATCACAGCCCCTCTGCTCACCATTTTCTGTCAGTTTAGATGTGTATAGAGGGCATCTACCAGACCAATCCCACAAGGCAAGATAGGCAGGGGAATCCCTCATTTGTGAATCCCATCGAGTGTTAGGTGTTGAGCTGCATGGCAGTGTGGGGAGGTGCTCAGCTGCCAAAATGTTGGTACCTTGTGGACTTTACTGGCAGAAATATGGGTGCCTATCTATGGACTTTAGGCACCTACATGGTTACACAGAAGCTGACAGAGGGGTTGTGAATGCCAGTGGCACCTAACGTTGGACTGAGGAACTTAAAGTGGCAGTTAGGTGCCTATGTCCACCTTGTGAATCCCACCCTTGCAGTCTGGTGTCTCTTTGCTCGTACCACGCAGGCTGCTCTCATCCAAAATGGCCACCACTTCTCCTGGTTCCCACTGAGAGTGACTCCAAGTTGCCTCCAGGGAAGACAGTAGTTCCCCATGCTATAAAGGAGTGGAGAGGAGCAGGTGAAAGGAGGCAGCGTCCATCTTTGCTATGGGACTCAGAAGAGTAAGAGATGGCAGCCATTTTGAGAGGGTAGTTGTTCATAGAATTCTCTGAAGTAGAACATTTTTCTTCAGCCACTGCTGAAGGAAAAACTTTCAGTTAGGAAGAATAATGGCAAAAAATTACCATGAATCCTAAACAAAAATTTTTGAAAAGTAGCCTATGGATACAAATTCAGTAAGGTTAATGATATGGAAAGTTTGAAGAGTCTTCATTATTTCATTAATGAGATTAGATTGGAACAAAAAAACTGTAATTATTTATTTTTGTATTAATTGTAATGCTGTTTAATTAATAGATTTTCTTGTATATGCTCAGAAAATTCATTTTATTCTCAAAGACTAAGTGCTGTCAGTTTGGGGAGGATATGGGGAGGATACGCAGGATGGTTCATACAAAACAAAATGCTGAATTCCTGTGTTAAGTGCAATCTCCACACAACTGTGGAGTCCCAAACCGTATCTCCATAATGAGAACTTCCTGGGCACGTGTACAGCCCCCCCCCCCCTTACTCCACTGACTCATTTCACTCATTGGAATTGCAGCATGCAAATCACCTGTCAAGGGATTGTGATGGTTGGTTGAGTCATCTCTGATGCCACAAAAATGATCTATGCTGTTTGAACTGTCCTTGCCTGTATTTATGGAGGAGCCGGTTGCAGCTCGATAGTTTAGGCTGAGTTCTGTTTTGCACTTAAAATAGGGGTTCAATCTCTTGGTTATCTGTGAAGACAAATTTACACCTCCCTAAATTTACACCAATCACTCTTTGAGTTCAGAATGAATTTTCTGAGAATTTACAAGTAAACCTGAGAATTAGCTTATGAGTTAAAATTAATTAAAAATTGGATCCTTTAAGAAATTTACCATCTAAGTCAGTCTTCTCTTTATCCCAAAATAATGGAATAACACACACTTATCAAATTTCCACAGTTACGATATTTGGCATCTTGTTCATAGTCTATATCTGAAGAAATATGATTGTAATTAATTAAAGTATTAGTGATTGTTGCATAAATTGTTATGGTTGTACTGGGTCCAGATAAGATCAGGGCAACATCTCAAGTAACTCTAAGTCCTACCAATGTGACATCAGAGGTAGCTTAACTAATCCTCATCCTTCTTCTACAGCTCATTCGTGTGCAACAATTCTATTGGTGGTAATAAGACAGGTATGAAGGAGATGGGATATGTCAAAAGTTCTCATTGGTAGATTACACAGCACAACTGCCACTCCTTTTAAAGGTCCCGTAGCCCCATGCTGGCTTGGTCATCGGTGCTTGAAAGTTTCCCATTGGCTCCCCTGCACACAGAGAGGCTGCACTGCCAGAGGAAGTGAGGCAGGAGCACAGGCTAGAATTATTGGGACTCAGCAACTTGTCTCTCCCAGCTTCCCTTCCTGTCGCACCAGTCTCGCTAACACCGATCAATAAAGCCACTGCAAATGAAGGGACAGATTTACCACTGTGCTTTGGCTGCTTTGTACTGCTCTTGTGAAGGGAAAAATAAAACCCCCTTAACGGTTCCTTAAAAAGTCCATGTCCTCCAATCTGGAACCACAAACATGAAATGTCTTAATCACAATCCAGAATCTGGAGTTGTGTGGTTATTGCCTGGCCTCACTACTCGCCACTCCCCAAACCTTACCACGTTTGGATTTCTTTTAAGCATAACTTTAACTTTGAATTTCCCAGGTTTGGAATGTTAGATATAGACTCACAACAGCCCTGAAATGTTCTTTCCCCTAAAATGTGGTTACATATTCTCTATCTTAACTATATTTAAACTACAACGGTTAGTAAAAGACGGTTACCTACCTCTTGTAACTGTTGTTCTTCGAGAAGTGTTGTTCACGTCCGTTACAATTCGGTGTGTGCACACCACATGCACGGACGTTGGAAACTTTTTCCCTTAGCAGCTCCCATCAGGACGGCAGGGAAGCCCCCTAGAGTGGCGCCCTCATGGCAGAGTATATATTACCCTGCCAGCCCGACCCCCCTTCAGTTTCTTCTTGCCTTTCACTCCGACAGAGGGGAAAGGGGGTGGGTATTGTAATGGACATGAACAACACATCTCGAAGAACAACGGTTACTAGAGGTAGGTAACCGTCTTTTCTTCTTCGAGTGATTGTTCACGTCCATTCCAATTAGATGACTTCCAAGCTTACTATTGGAGGAGGGTAGGAGTCATGGAACGATTGATTGAAGAACAGCTCTGCCGACTGCTGCATCATCTCTGGCCTGTTGGTTAACAGCACAGTGGACTGTAAACGTGTTCACTGAAGACCAGGTGGCTGCTTTACAGATCTTCTGGATAGGGACCTGAGCCAGAAAGGCTGTCGAAGATGCCTGTGCTCTGGTTGAATGGGCCGTAATTGCTGGGGCTGGGACCTTGGCCAACTCATAGCATGTGCGAATGCAGTCTGCGATCCAGAACGATATGCACTGCACAGAGATAGGAAGAGCTTTCATTTTGTCAGCTATGGTGATGAACAATTGGGTCGTGCACCCTATGTAGAAAGCCAGGGTCCTCCAGACATCCAGCGTGTGTAGGCTACGGTGTCTCGGGCTCATGTGGGGTTTTGGAAAGAACACTAGTAAGCAAATGTCCTGACCCATGTGGAACTGGGAGACCACCTTGGGGAGAAATTTAGGATGTGGTCTAAGCTGCACCTTGTCCTTATGAAACACCGTGCACGGTGGTTCAGAGGTGAGGGCTCTCAGCTTGGACATCCTTCTTGCTGATGTAATGGCCACCAGGAACGCACCTTCCAAGAAAGATAGAGGAGGGAACAAGTGGCCAGGGGCTCAGATGGTGGGCTCACGAGTTTGGAGAGGACCAGGTTCAGGTTCCAGGTTGGGACTGGTGGTCGAGAATACAGGAACACCCTCTCCAGACCTTTGAGGAATCGCCCTACAATGGGATTAGAAAATACCGAGCGCCCAGACTCCCCTGGATGGAAAGCTTAAATGGCCACCAGGTTTTCTCTGATGGAGGAAGGGGATAGACCCTGATGCTTAAGGTGTAGAAGGTATTTTAAAATAACTGGGATGGTACCCTGGAGTAGTTGAAGGCGCTTGGGTTCACACCTTATCCATTTCACCAGGTAGGTAGCCCTAGCAGAAGGTTTCCTACTGCCGAGGAGAATTTGTCTCACCAACTGAGAGCGCTGGCTCTCCATGGGATTTAGCCACGGAGTTTCCAAGCCATGAGATGCAGAGACTGCAGGTTTGGTTGAAGGAGGCACCCGTGGTCCTGCATGATCAGATCTGGGTTGAGGGGCAGGGCAATCAGGGCGTCTACAGATAGCTCTAGTAGGGTTGTATACCAATGCTGTCAGGGCCAAGAGGGGCTGATAATGATCACCATCACCCTATGTCTGCAAATTTTGAGGCGGACCCGATGGACAAGTGGGATAGGAGGCAAGGCATACTTCAGACCCTTGCCCCATGGTATTAAGAGCAAATCAGCAATCGAGCCTGGACTGTGGTTTTGGAATGAGCAGAACTGAGGGCACTGTCTGTTGCTCTTGGTGGCGAAGAGGTCTACTTGGGGATCACCCCACTCCTGGCAGAGTGACTGTATGTTGTCCAATCTGATTGACCACTCGTGCATGTGGTATGACCTGCTGTGGCGATCAGCAAGCTCGTTCCACACTCCTGGAACGTAGGATGCTTTGAGCTGAATGGATGAGGCT